TTCACCGTGTTAGCCAGGATGGTCTCGATCTCCTGACCTCGTGATCCACCCGTCTCGGCCTCCCAAAGTGCTGGGATTACAGGCTTGAGCCAAGTGGTGCAATCTTGGCTCACCGCAAGATCTGCCTTCCAGGTTCACACCATTCTCCTGCCTCAGCCTCCCGAGTAGCTGGGACTACAGGCACCTGCCATCACGTCTGGCTAATTTTCTGTATTTTTAGTAGAGACAGGGTTTCATTGTGTTAGTCAGGATGGTCTTGATTTCCTGACCTCATGATCCGCCCATCTCAGCCTTCCAAAGTGCTGGGATTACAGCCGTGAGCCACCGCACCCGGCCTGCCTTGTGCATTTTTTTCTTTCTTTCTTTCTTTTTTTTTTTGAGACAGGGTTTCATTCTGTTGCCCAGGCAGGAGTGCAGTGGCATCATCATAGCTCACTGTAACCTCGAACAAGCCATCCTCCTGCCTCAGCCTCCTGAGTAGCTAGGACTGCAAGCATGCGCCACCACACCCAGGTAATTTTGAATTTTTTTTAGAGACAGGATCTTGTTATGTTGCCCAGGCTGGCCTCAAGTGATCCTCCCGCTTTGGCCTCCCAAAGTGCTGGGGTTACAGGTGTGAGCCACTGTGCCTGGTCTGCCTTGTGTTTTTATACTGTTTCACTCTTCAGAGAAATTTTGAGACCTTCTCTAATTTGCTCCAAAATTATGGCTCCTATCACATACCCTACTTTTTTTTTTCCCACTCCAGCCTCTGCATTTGGTTACAGGCTGCTTCTCCCAAGGTCCTTGCCTGCTGATCTCCCAGCATCAGGATCCCACTTGTTCAAGGCTGAGTTCCACCATACCTCCAGAATCCTCCCACTTTAAAGAATTTCTCTTTCTCTGTAAACTTGCGTAACTTTTATTGGAACCTCTGTTATAGTACTGACTGATTTCTTTCTGGACATGCTTTGGCTGTTTATTTTGTGCCTTCTCCTCCTTATTTAGCTGTAACATGTTCTGTGAGGGCTGAGTCCATGTGAATTTCGTGCTGGCATTCCACACAGCACCTAATAATAATGCTTGGTGCCAGGAGATATTCAGTAACTTCTTATTGGATAGATGATTCACTGGACAGATGCTTTCCAGCCCTCTTGCTCTATTGCAAAGCTGGTATATATTTAGGAATTATGAAACCATTTTAATTCTATGTAAGGAGAAAATACTTGAGAGGTGAATCTCTATAAAAATGTACATTACTTCATTTCAGAGCACCTCTCCCATTCTTTAGTATAATCAAAAATTGACTATAGTTTTGTAATAGAGCACCAATTTTTTCATCACTTTACTCATGAACTACCCTTGTCACCATGCCATAAATAAGTAGAATCTTATATTAGACCTCATTATTCTTGTTTTCCCATATCTCTTTATGTTGTCGAATTTACCTGTAACATCTGTGTCACAATACTAACATTTATTACTTCTTTCGTCCTATCTACTCTCATGTAGTTTTTCATTACTTCTTATCTAGAGAAATTTCTATTTCTTCTCTCTAATGCCTCCCTACTCCCTACACTAGACCCCAGAAGTAAATTGCTTATTTTCTTACAGTTACCAAAAAGCTAATATTTTCTGTTATCATCCTACCATTATAAAGCATGTTCTTTTCCTTCTGGGCTCAAATAGAAGTGTTTTATCTTTCCTCAATTATGAAAATAAAAATGTTCATTGTAGAAATTTTGAAAGGAACCAAAGGGGAAAATAAGACCATTTAGAGGAAAATAAAAATAGCATATAACCTCTTTCTTAATCACTATGAACATTTTGCTGAATTTCTCTCTAGACTATTTTTAATGTATAAATATATAAGTTATTAGAATGATTGGTGTCATGGTGGATATACTCTTTTTCCTTGAGATGAAGTCTCGCTCTGTTGCCCAGACTGGAGTGCAGTGGCGTAGTCTTGGCTCACTGCAGCTTCTGCCTCCCAGGTTCAAACGATTCTCCTGCCTCAGCCTCCTGAGTAGCTGGGACTACAGGCACATGCCACTGTGTCTAGCTAATTTTTGTATTTTTAGTAGAGACAGGGTTTCACTATGTTGGCCAGGCTGGTCTGGAACTCCTGACCTCGTGATCTGCCTGCCTCAGCCTCCCAAAGTGCTGGGATTACAGGTGTGAACCACCGTACCCGGCCAGGATATACTCTTTTGTAACAGTTTTTTTATTAGTAATATATTTTGAATATTTCGTCGTCTCATTCAATATTTTTGTATAACGTTATCATATAATATTAAATGTTCACACTAATGATAAAGGGACTACCTACAGGGTGTCCATTGTATGTCACACCATTGTAAGTGTTTTATTATATATATCAACTCAATTTAATCTTCACAACCACTCTGAAAGGTAGCTCTTATTACTCTCACTGTACAAGTGAAAGAGCTGAGGCTAAAGAGGTTAAGCAGTTGGCTTCAGGATGCACAGTACTCAGCAGATCCATCGAAGTCTTTCTCTGCTCTTTCCATGATAATACGTTGCCTCCCTTTATTTTTAATGACTGCATAGCATTAAAGTGGTAGCAGGTTAAAAATAACATAATTTAGCTGGGCATGGTGCCTGTAGTCCCAGCTATTCTGGAGAATGAGTTGGGAGGATCCCTTGACCCCAGGAGTTAAAATCCAGCTTAGACAACATAGCAGAACTCTGTCTTTAAAAAAAAAAAAAAAGAAAAAGAAAAAGAAAAACCTAGCAAAACAGCCCCTGTAATTTATTTAACTCTTTTTCTGTTTTCAGATAATTAAATTGTTTGGTTTGGTTGGTTTTTTGGCTACGATTCAATAATATTTAATATGTAAAGTATAATTCATTTTTATTAAGCAAAACTATGTATATATGCTTACCTATATGTGCATGAATTAAAAAGGTTCTATTTACAAAGTTATTCCTAGGGAACGTAGTATTAGGTTGGCGCAAAAGTAATTGCGTTTTTGCCATTAAGAGTAAGGTTACCACCTGTGGGCTTTCATCTGTGGGCTAGATGAGAAAGAAAGAGGGAAGTTTCACTTTTACCTTATTCACTTCTATTTGACTTAAAACAAGCATGCATTATTAGAGTAACTTAAAAACTAGCAATAAAACACTGTAACAAAGTCTTTTGTATGAGAACTCTTCTATACACTTTTATTTTCTTTGGATAAATTTCTAGAAGAATTAGTAAGTCAAAAATAGGAACATTTCCCTCATGCCTGTAATCCCAGCACTTTGGGAGGCTGAGGCAGCTGGATCACTTGAGGACAGGAGTTTGAGACCAGCCTGGATAACATGGTGAGACCCCATCTCTACTAAAAATACAAAAAATTAGTCGGGCATGGTGGTGCTTGCCTGTGGTCCCAGCTACTCAGGAGGCTGAGGTGGGAGGATCACTTGGACTCAGTGGGCAGAGGCTGCAGTGAGCCAAGATCATGCCACTGCACTCCAGCTTGGGTAATAGAGCAATACTTTGTCTTAAAAAAATAAAAAAGGAACATTTCTTCATTAGGATACAGATCCCCCCCAAAAATGAACATTTTAAAGATTCATATTATATTGTAAAACTGCCTTCCCAGAAGGATTTTATGAATTTGTGTTCTTTTACCAGAAATAAATGAGTGTCCATTTTGCTGCTTTCTGGTCAATAGTGGTTGTTGACATTCTTTTCATCTTTGCCAATTTCATACATGAAATACTATATTACATTTTAGTTTTTATTCCTTTTTTTTTTTTTAGATGGAGTCTTACTCTGTCAAACAGGCTAGAGTGCAGTGGCATGATTTTGGCTTACTGCAGCCTCCACCTCCCAGGTTCAAGACATTCTCCTGCCTCAGCCTCCCAAGTAACTGGGACCACAGGTGTGTGCCACCACGCCTGACTGCTTTTTTGTATTTTTAGTAGAGACAGGGTTTTGCCGTGTTGGCCAGGCTGGTCTTGAACTCCTGGCCTCAAATGATCTGCCTGCTTTGGCTTCCCAAAGTGCTGGGATTACAGGCCTGAGCTACCACACACCCAGCCAAATTTTGCTTTAGTTTTTATTCCTTTGATTACTGCATAAGATTGAATATTTTTTCTATCAGCCATTTTTATTTCTCTTGTTTTTTTTGAGTTGACTCTTCTTGTACTTTGCTTTTTTCTGTTGGGGTGTTTGCCTTTTTAAAAATTATTTGCCATCAATTTTTATATTATTATAAATATATTTGTCATATATGGTACAAATATTGTAACCTAACCTTTTGTTTGCCTTTTAATTTTGTTTATAATATTCTTTTGAATAAATAGTAGTTAGGACTTTTTTAAGTTGCTAAATCTATCTAGCTGATAGGAGTAATTCAGTTGTTTTTGTTTTGAAACGCCTATGTACTGACTATACAATTTAAATTGGGGCAGGAAACACTGAAGCTTAGAAAGATCCTTACTGAAGGATCCTTCAGCTGAGATGTAGGGAAACTAGAATTGAGAATATTAATTTTTTAAACATTCTTAAGTCTTAAATGAGAATGAAAAATTTGGCCAATGTTGAAGACTTCTAATGGGTGGAGGCCCCATGGGCATCAGAAAGGCGGGGCAGTCAGGGGCTGGAAGTCAGGGTAAAAATGACAAGTCAGCAAAGTATCAAGAGTGAGGAAGAAATGTAGAAACGAGGTGTGGCCACTGATACTGGCACCAAACCCCTTGGAAAGTATTGTCTATAGATGATAAGTAGAACAAGAAAATACACCCAAATACTTCCAAAATGAAGTCATGCAAGACAATTTTTATTTGAAAATGAAAAATGTAGTCATCTTAATACAAAATTTTATTGGCCTGATTTCTGTAGGATATGACACATTTTCTTTTTTTAGATTGCATTTGTTTCTTCTCAGCAGTGATTGCTCCCGGAATGTTGCATTTTTATAAAGAATTCCTTTGCTACTGAAAGATAGATATTAAAATATGGCTCCATATGGCTAGATAATGAACACAGTACCACCAGTCCAGCTTTTAATGTAGCAAAACTTCACCAGAAATATTTATTTTCTTGATGATGATTGTCGACAAACCATTGATGTGATGTAGGGTACTCTGCTAATTCTAGAAATGTTTCCTGCCATTGAAAGATCGGTTTCAAAGTGACATTAAAAGCCACTGAAATCCTAGAGAATTTGAGATGGAAACGAGCAGAAAGCATGTTCTTGAAACCAAGTTACCTTTATAGACTACTGTGTCTCTTAATGTAATTTAGATGCCCATACAAGAAAAAGAAGCTTCAAAGAAAGAAGTCATTCTTCTGGCAAAGATGAAACATCCCAACATTGTAGCCTTCTTCAATTCATTTCAAGGTTTGACTTCCTAATATTCTTTAACTATTTTTATAAAGTATAGGCATGTTGACATAGGTAAAAAGATTTGTTCCTAAGGACTGTGTATAAATTAATTTTTGTAGATGGGTCATTTCCCCATTTACTTAAATTGCAGCTTGAGACCTCTTCGTTGTTTCCTCTCTAGTAAGTTTTTGTAGACAGCTTTCTTATGTTTTCTTGTTTTTCTGCTTCTCCTTAATTCTCACTCTCCCAAAAAATTAATGACTGGCTTATTTTCTGCCTCTCCTTAATTCTCACTCTCCCAAAAAATTAATGAGTGGCTTATTAGTTTCTTTGCTCTAGTAACAACCCCCAAATTTAAGTGACTTACAATAATACACATCTATTTCTCACTTACATTACATGCTAGCTGTGGTAGGCTGGGGTCTTGAGTCTGGGGCCCAGGCTGAAGGAGCAGCTCAGATAAGGAGCCAGCTGTTCTCATAAGCAAAACAAGAGAGGAAAACACAGAGCCCACCACACTATCGCTCTCAAAGTCCTGCTGGGATGTGTGTGTTTGTGTGTGTGTGTTGGGGCCGTACTCTGCTTACATGAGATCCCGCATATCCTTAGGCAACAGATGGGGCTGGTGTAATCCTCTTACAGAGAGCCAGCAAACAACCACACACCATAGCCTAGCGCACTGCCATGTAGAGGGGAAGAACTTTAGGGAAGGAATTCCCTTCCTCTGTACACCTGAATACAGTTCTGCCTCCGCCCGTCACTGTAGTCCAAAGGTAAAAAATAAATAGTAAATGAAGGGGCATCTGTCAGACAGCATTCATTCACTGAACTGATACTTATTGAGTGCTTACTATATGCCAGACATTGTTCTAGGTGTCAGGAATATAAGAGTGAACAAAGCAGATGAAAATCCGTGTTTTCATGAAATGTATATTCTAGTGGGAAGAGATAGACAATAAACAAATCTACAGTATGTCAGGTGTGTCTTAAGTTGTGACAGGGCTGTATGTGCTGACAGTTTTATGACGGGTCATTCCCCAGCCCAGCCCCCAGCACTGGGCTGTTTTAAGAGTGATAAGTAGTTCATGGAGCAGAAGTGTTAACCTCGGTATCTTCAAGCATCATCAGTTGGGTCAAAGTCAGTCAATAAATAAATACAGCCACTGTGTCTCGAGCATGTGCACTGTGCAGGGCACTGTGTTCCTTCCTGATTAAAACCACTACATTCAAAGTACTTCTGTGTGTATGGCCCTTCTTTGGCTTCTGGGTATTTAAAAGAGCTCTTGGGACTCTTCTGAGGTCTTCCTGGGAGCAGAACAGTACACATGGTCTGGAATTGGGTTGCATGGAATAACTTTCAAGGAGAGCCACCGAATAAAGTGCCCTGCATTCCTGTCCATTGGCTACTGATAACGCTGTAAGATGGTCTTTCTCTTCTTTATTTTGTTTGAGGTTATTACTGTGACTCTCTGGCTAACTCCTGCTCATCCTCAGGCCTTTTCTGAACTCACAATTCAAATTACAGCTCCCTTTGGTTCTCTTCCACAGCAGTTGTACTTACATATGTCTATTTATATGATTATGAATTTGTTTCATATTTGTCGCCCTTTGCGTAGTAAACTTAATGAATTTTGGGGCTCCATCTGTTTTGCTCACCACTTGATCCTTGGCATCTAGCACACACTGGCTGCTCAATACCTATTTACTGAATGAGCGAATGGACTGGACCACTTTTAGAGACTGGAGTATATCCTTACACCATGTGAGAGTGATTTTTGAGGACAGTTTACCGCTGGAAGCTTTTGCAAAACTAGGGTCATTTTTACAGTGTAAATAATCTCTGCTGTGTTTGTTGATACTGTAAGTTTACATTTTCTTCTGACTCTTTTTAAGTAGAGCACCCCTGTGTTCAGGAAAGCTACAGCTATTGTGATGCCTTTGAGTTTTCTTGGCAGATTGCTGGGACTTGAACTACTGAGCTTATCTAAAAGCCTCAGAGGGCCTTGTAGCCTCTGTCTTTTAGAGAGTGTAGGTAAAGGCTTGCTTTCCTTCAAATGGCTTATCTCTGATCATAAGAACCATGGCTCTAGTGTTCGTCTATAGAAAATACGATGTTTTCGGACGGGCGCGGTTGCTCACGCCTGTAAACCCAGCACCGTGGGAGGCCCAGGCAGGCAGATCACCTGAGGTCAGGAGTTCAAGACTACCCTGGCCATGGTGAAACCCTGTCTCTACTGAAAATACAAAAAAAAATTAGCTAGGTGTGCTGGTGCGTGCCTGTCATCCCAGCTGCTTGGGAGGCTGAGGTAGGAGAATCGTTTGAACCTGGGAGGTGAAGGTTGCAGTGAGCTGAGATTGTGCCACTGCACTCCAGCCTGGGCAACAAGAACAAAACTCTGTCTCAAAAAAAAGAAAATAGGATGTTTTTATTGGTTTGAGGCAACATAAGAGAAATAATGAGAATGTAGTGATATTTTCCTAAGACTAAATTAATTCCATGTGAATTCCATCAATAAACATTCATTAAGTGTCTGTTATATGCCAGTCATGTTCTAAGTCTTGGAGATATATCAGCAGACAAAATAGGCAAAAATTCCCATGCTGTTGTATTTGTTTTCTATTACTACATAGCAAATGAACACAAATTTAGTGGCTTAACAACAACACATATTTATTATCTCTTGATTTCTGTAGGTTAGAAGCCTGAGGTTGGCTTAGCTGGATTCTCTGCCCACAGTCTCAGCTAGTTGAAATCAAGGTATCAGTTGGGACCGTTATCTGTGGCTCATGGTCTTCTTCCAAGCTTATTTAGGTTGTTACAGATTTCATTTGCTTGCAATTGGGGTAATTGGATCATGGCTCACTGCAGCCTTGAACTCGTGGCCTCCAGTGATCCTTCTGCCATGGCTTCCAAAAGTGCTGTGAGCACTGTGCCTGGCCAGAAAGAGATCTTTTACATTTATTTAAACACAGAGTTTTATTTTATATTACTCTTATGCACACATAAAAAAGAAAATATGAGCAAACAAAGTTGGTTAAGGTATTCTAAAAATTATTTAGGCAGTGAAAACATTAAGCCTGCCAGGTCTACAGCAAGTGATTGGAAGACGCCAAGGTCTGTAAGAAACAATCTTGATTTTATTTTTTTTTTGAGACAGAGTCTCATTCTGTTGCCCAGGCTGGAGTGCAGTGGTACCATTACAGCTCACTGCAGCCTTGACCTTCTGGGCTTAAGTGGCCCTCCCACCTCAGTCTCCTGCGTACTGGGATTACAGGCACGCACCCCCACACCTGGCTAATTTTTGTATTTTTTTTTCTTTATAGAGCCAGAGTTTTGCCATGTTGCCCAGGCTGGTCTCAGACACCTGAGTTCAAGCAATCCACCTGCGTCAGCCTTGGCCTCCCAAAATGCTGGGATTACAGGCGAGAGCCACTGTGCCAAGCCCTTGATTTTTTAAAAGTGCATTTTAGAATGAATTAGAATAATTGTTTAATAAATGTTGGAACTTGACAAATAAAAAGGTTATTTAGTGCCCCCCAATTGTTTTGAAGTGTCGGTGATCCATGAGCTTTACAGCAGATGGAAAATTTGAGAGCATAAATGATTTTTCCAGACATTTCCAATAAATATAAAATTAACAGTGGCTAATGGGGAAAATCCTTATTTTACAGTCAGAGATAATGCTAATTGACGTTAAGTAGTTTCTTTTTTTTTTTTTTTTTTTTTTGAGACGGAGTCTCACTCTGTCACCCAGGCTGGAGTGCAATGGCGCAATCTTGGCTCACTGCACTTCCACCTCCTGGGTTCAAGCAATTCTCCTGCCTCAGTCTCCTGAGTAGCTGGGATTACAGGTGCCCGCCACCACACCTGGCTAATTTTTGTATTTTTAGTAGGGATGGGGTTTCACTATGTTGGCCAGGCTGGTCTCAAATTCCTGACCTCAGGTGATCCACCCACCTCGTCCTCCCAAAGTGCTGGGGTTACAGGCATAAGCCACTGCACCCGGCCAGTAGTTTCTTTAAGATACCTCTGTCATGATGAATTTTGAGTCAGTCAGTTTCTTTCACCAAAAGCCAGTGAAAGGTTGAGTGACTTGGAGGTTGGTGAAAAGGAAGTGAGATGAAATCTTTTCTCCTCTGTTTCATTATTCTGATTCTTCCATGGTTTTGAAATTGCCATCCCTTCATTGCTGTGGCAGACCTTTTAATGACTGAGCTTCAATGATAAGAAACATCAATTCTCCTAAAAGTAACACATTCCTGAAAATAACCGATCGCTAGATATTAGGGCATATCAAGAAGCATCTTCTCAGAACCCTTCCTGGATCTCCAGTTTGACTTGCAGGCACTTTCTCCTCACCCTCCAGCCTACAGTCTTCTTCACAGCACTTCTCACCCAATGCTGAGGGACTCCCCAACTAGACTTTGCCTCTTTAACAGTAGAATGGATGGCTTATTTGTTTTTTATTCCTACACAGCATTCCTTGCTTTTGCATGTCCTCAATAGAAGTTTGTTAATAAATGAATGGATCTGTCTCTTAAAGAAGAGAGGTGGAAAAATTGAAATATGTGAAAGAAGATGCATGGTTTGTGAATTAGAAGCAACCAAGGGTAGACACTGCCAGGTTACTGATATCCACAGTAAGTTGGTTAGGGTACTTTAAAGAGTAGAAGAGCAAAAGATTTGGCAAGAGAGTTTGGCATTTAGTAGGGACTACAGGGGAAAATGTTAACAATTGCTTATAAGCCTGATTTTGGCATGTATGTTTTTGTATGTTTTGTGTTCCTTCGGGGGTTTTTTTGTTTGTTTGTTTGTTTTTGTTATTGTTGTTTGTTTGTTTGTTTTTAATGAATCCACTCAACAAACATTTAAGCCCCTTTGATGTGCTAACTACTGTTTTAGATACAAAAGAATGAAGTGTAGACAAACAAGTGAGTAGAAATCCTTCTTTTCTAACAAGATCCCAGCTGGTAGTTGGTGGGCTAATTAAGAAAGCTGGTTAAAGTGGAAAATCATCTGTTTTAGTCTATTCTAGCAGCTATAAGTCTATTCCAGTAGCTATAACAAAATACCATAAACTGAGTGGCTTATAAACAGCAGAAATTTATTTCTCACAGTTCTGGAGGCTGAGAAGTACAAGATCAAGGTGCAGGCAGATTCACTGTCTGCTGAGGGTTCACTTTCTGGTTCATAGATGGTTCGCCTCATTGTGACTTCACATGGTGGAAGCGGAGAGGGTTCTCTGTTGGACAGCAGTCCATTCATGTGGGCTTCACCCTCATGACCTAGTCACCTTCCAAAAGCCCTATACCCCCTAATACCATCACCGTGGGGGCTAGAATTTCAACATACACATTTGGGGAAGACAAAGATATTTAGATCCTAGCAGTTATGCAAACATATTTTAACATAAGAAGACATAATCATCCTTTGAGTGGAAATGGCCAGAAAAAAAAAAAAGAAAAAAATTTTAAGGAAATTACAAGCATTTGTCAAAGGATAGTTTCTTTTCTTTAATATGGAGCCAGTGTTTGTGGATAATCTGTCCACAATCCTTTTAGAAATTTTCTAGTTGTATTTCATTCATTTCATTCAACGTTTAGGTCAATGGTTATTTATTTATTTATTTATTTATTAAGCTCACTTTTACTGAGTCCTCCAAAATATTCAGGATAGCTTTTGGAGAAATAATCACATCTTTCATTTTCTATTCATATTTCATCAGTTTATGTAAAGACAAGAATAACTCACTACAGTTCAAGAAAATTCAGAACTATAGTTGGTAGATTATGAGTCCACTGACTATCGTTCTGAATTTTCTTTCTTACGTAAGCTATACTTTTTATTTAGAACTTTTAGTTTCTTTTCTTTAATGTGGAGCAAGAATTTGTGGATAATCTATACACAATCCTTTTAGAAGTTTTCCAGTTATATTTCATTCATCCCATCAACATTTAGGTCAATAGCTATTTTTTTAAAAACTGCTCACTTTTACTGAGTCCTCCAAAATATTCAGCATAGCTTTTGGAAAATATCACATCTTTCATTTTCTATTCATATTTCATCAGTGTCTGTTATAAAGACAAGAGTAAATGGAATAAACATATCTGGGAAGAAACACAATGATCTTGGTAAGATTCAGTTCAATTGGTAGGAGCAGAGGTACTTGGACATACTAGAGAGCCTAGTAGTAACTAGTGGTAACCTTGATGGGACAATAGCAATGGAGAGTGTCCTGTAATCTAGTGAGTGGTTTAGGCAGAGGTCAGTTATAAGAGTTTCTATTGTATTCAACAACATAGATGAATAAGTGCCGTAGAAATATGGCTTTATGCCCAAATTCAAGAAGGGGCTATTAATTCTTCCTGGGGTGTTAGGAAAGAGTTACAGCTGCTATTTTTATAGCAGATTTCTAATCTCTCAAAGGAATGCATTAATAAAAATAGCCAACATTTCTTAAACTCTTATTATCTACAGGCATTATTCTAAGCATCTGACAGGGATTAACTCATTTAATCTTTCCAACAATCTGAAGAACAAATTTCTATAATATTATTTCCATTTTACAGATGAGGTAATGAGGCACAGAGAAGTTAAAGTGACTTGCCCAGAGTCACAGAGCTAAGAAATAGAAATGGTATAGTGGAATTAGAACCCAGTCCATTTTGATTCCACAGCCAGAACATGACTGATAAATAACTGAAATCCTTCCAGCACCAAATGATTCCTTTTCTTACAGAGAACAGCAGGCTGTTTATTGTAATGGAATATTGTGATGGAGGGGATCTCATGAAAAGGATCAATAGACAACGGGGTGTGTTATTTAGTGAAGATCAGGTAAAAACTTCTAATTTGCCTTTTAACTTTACGTATGTGTGGTGGGGAGAGAATTAAATTTGTAGTGTCATAAGTAGTAGACTATGTTGATATAAAGCATGTGTTTTGGTAGAGAAATTCAAACCATAAAATAGTGGATCAATATTCTTGGTAGATTCAGTAGAACAAGTTTGCAATTGAACTTAAACTGAATTGTTTTTTAGAGTGAGATTTTCTTGAGAAAAGATAGTCTGTTTGGACAATCTCGTGTAGGATGCCTCTGAGATAAATCTTCATGGTTAAATAAAAACCTGAATGTGCGTGTTCCTTAGCCATTTAACATGTGACATGTTTATAGCTTCACTGTTTTCTCTTTCACCATTTGGTGCTGTGTTTTAAAGTAGATATCCCACTTTGCTAGGGAGGATAGAAGCTTCTCTTGGCAATGCCTGTTTAGTTTCATTAGTTACTAAGAGGGGGAGATAAAAGATGAAGAATAATGGCCTCTCCCACTTTCTCTTTGCACAAATGTATTTCTCTTCTATACTCCAAGCCTCCTTGGAACCCTCTTGGGAGTGGTACTCATGAAGGAGACAGGTTTGTGTGTGTGGAGAGGAATCTGAATTAGTGCCTATAGCGCCTATATGATTGCTGGTAAGGCCATTGCCTCAGGAAGCACACAGGAAAGGCCCACCATTTTTCCTTTGGCCATTTGTTTCTTTGTTCTATTTTAGCATTTGGGAGCCTCATGCCCATATAATTTCCTCCTAAAGTTTAATGTTTTGAATATATGAAGGATTGAAGAATCAATATTTCTAACTTCTGTAAGATTAATCAAGCATTTTTTGTATGCTCATTTATATTATATATTAAATTCCATATTCATAGAAACTCTTTTTTCTTATCTAGGTATTATTTTGCCACATTTTATAAAAATGCTTCTCTTGACAAAATTTTGAGTTACATTTCTTTTGGTTGGGAATGAACTAAAATTACAACCGAATATTAATGTCTGGAATATGGCTTTATTCCTATTATTTTCCTCTTTCTGTATAATTTGGCAGACAAAGAACCAGTGAAATTTTAGAATAGTTTAAATAAATTTCTGTAGGCATAGAACACATTTTCAGAAAGAGGCTCATGGTCAACAAAGATAAAATAAAATCATGACTTAGAAATAAAATTAAACTTTAAAAGTAAAGTATTTGTTGGTTTTATATTAGATATATTGATATTTTATTACAATTCCTAAAAACCTCACAGATCCCTCATTTCTTCCTCTTTCTCTCCCTACCCTTGGCACCCTCCTTCCACCGTAAAGGAAGAACCAATGGCTCCCAGGTTATCAGGAAACAGGGCTACTTGTGTACTATTTACGATGCAGTTAGCACCCCAGGGTTAAGTAAGAAAAAAAGAAAATCATGAACGCATGTGTCTTTCCCTTGCCCCTACTTATCTTTTTCTGCGTGTGGAATTCATTTGATACCAGTGATATTTGGATTACTTTTCTGTGCCTCCATTGTTTTAGTTGTAAAATGAAAATAATAATATGATAAAGTATACCTATTAACTTCATTCCTATAAATACACATACACTATATATGTGTGTGTGTGTGTGTGTGTGTGTGTATAATTTCTTTCTTTCTTTTTGCATGTTACCATGAAGACATTTCAGTGACTACCAGGCTATTCAGTGGCTTTGTTTTGTGTTCTCTCTATAGATCCTCGGATGGTTTGTACAGATTTCTCTAGGACTAAAACATATTCATGACAGGAAGATATTACACAGGGACATAAAAGCTCAGGTAACAGCTCAGAGAGAAGACTAAGACAGAATTGATCTTTTCTTGAAGTACCTCAAACAACATGACATTTTCTCCATTTATAGAACATTTTTCTTAGCAAGAATGGAATGGTTGCAAAGCTTGGGGACTTTGGTATAGCAAGAGTCCTGAATAAGTAAGTACTTTGAAAATAATTTTTCTTTCTATTCAAAATAGCCCAAATATGTATTTTTAGGTGTCATGGATTAAGAAGATATTAAAATCTTGGTTGCTTAATAATTTTAGATAGCTTTATGTAAATGCATTAAATCAGATGGTACTTTGAGATTAAAATTCTCAAGGTAAATTGTGGTGTAATAGAATGATGTTGCTAATGTTCTGTAGTGTAATTCCAGTTTATCAAATATGAATGTGACTGTAATACGCATAAAGCTAGAGAGAATTTAGTGAAATAGGCAGGTTTACACTTCTTAATGAAAAAAGTCAAACTCTGTAAAATATTTGAAGAGATTTATTCTGAGCCAAATACGAGTGACCAAAGGCCCATGCCTGTGACATAGCCCTCAGGAGATCCTAAGAACACGTACCCAAAGTGGCCGGTCTACAACTTGGTTTTGCACATTTTAGGGAGACACAAGACACCAATAGCATGTACATGGGTTTGGTCCAGAAAAGCAGGACAACTCAAAGCTGGGAGGCGTGGGAAGGAGCTTCCAGGTCATAGGTGGATTAAAAACTTTTCTGATTGGCAGTTGGTTGAAAGAGTCTATCTAAAGACCTGGAATTAATGGAAGGGAGTGTCTGGGTTAATGTAAGGGGTTGTGGAAATGAAGGTTTTTATTATGCAGATGAAATCTCCAAGTAGCAGGCCTTGGAGAGAATAGATTGTAAATGTTTATCAGATTTAAAAAGGTGCCAGACTCTTAGTTAACTTTTTCCTGGATCAGGAAAAAGACTTGGAAAAAGAAGGGAGTTTTCTTCAGAATGTAGAGTTTCCCCACAAGAGATACCTTTGCAGGACTATTTCAATATATGGACAAAGAAACATGATGTGGGGTAAAATATTTTGATTTCTTTCAGGCCTGCTATCTGTCATGTGATGTTATACTAGAGTCAGGGTGGACTTTGGTATCTTATTGCTACAAACAGTCTGCTTTGTCAGTTTTAAACTTACAATTCACCTTCCAAAAATTTACACATTAAAATATATTTTTTATGGCTCTGTTTTAGTGTTAATGCCGGTCAGCTGTGCCTGAATTCCAAAGGGGAGGAGGAAATAATGAGGCATGTCCAACCTTGCTCCCCATCATGGCCTGAACTGGTTTTTCAGGTTAACTTTGGAATGTCCTTGGCCAAAGGGAGGGTTTATGAGTTGGTTAGGGGGCTCAGAATTTTTTTTTTGGTTTACACACTTTCTAGCAGAATAAACTGGTGCACCTGTTTGGAAGACAATTTGGTGGCAATATATATCAAGAGATTTTTAAATATTCTATTTCTGAGAATTTGTTCCAAGGGAATAATTTGAAATTTGGAATAATGTAAGTGCCTAAATAATTAGGAAATGGTTAAATTTAATAAAGCTTGGCATGACCATGTACCTGAATATATCATAAACATTTACGGTTTTGAAGACTTCTTGATAACTTTGTTATACTACATAAAGAAAATGGAATTCTGAATTTTAAATTCATTGTGATCACAGTTACATGAAAAATATGTGTGGAAAAAAGACAGGAAGGAAATATATCAGAATTTTAACAATAGCTGTTTTAGGTGCTAAGATTCTGGGTAACTTTTTTCTCCCTTATTCATTTTTGTATTTTCCAAGTTTTAAATCATGAAGTTGCGATTTGATAATCTCTACATCTGAGAGATTTTTATAACATGACAATTTCATCTCTTTGTGGAGTCTTTAAGCCATAAAAAATATATTTTGATGTGTAAATTTTTGGAAGGTGAATTGTAAGTTTAAAAATCAGCTGATTTAGTTACTCTATTAACATACAGTGTTTGGCTTTCTTCTAACACATGTATGCATCAAATCTTGTGTTATCCATTTTCACATTTTTTCTTGCATGTCCATGTCTTAAGGCTTTTCTTACCCCAATAAAAATTCATACTGATTTATTATTTAATATAATTTACTAGTTCCATGGAACTTGCTCGAACTTGTATTGGAACACCTTACTACCTGTCCCCAGAGATCTGTCAGAATAAACCCTACAACAATAAAACGTAAGTTGCTGACTCTTAGTTTGAAAGTGTCAGTAAAATCCGATGAATGACACTGAATGAAGATTCCAGAAACTAAAATTCAAATCTCTTCTTTCTTTCTCATGGTACTTTTGTAATTTCATTTTCTTCATGTGTGAAATTGTTCCCGGACCAAACAGGGTTGGGCTGCTATTTCTCATGGTCCAATAACGAGATGCAGATGAACTGGGGAGGAAGAGAGTTTTCATTTCTGTAACTGGTACAGGGAGAAGGCCTGCAAATTATCGCCAGACCAACTCAAAATTACAAAGTTTTTCAGAGCTTATACACCTTCTAAGCTATATGTCTGTGTGTAAGTGTGCATTCATTTAAAGACATAGTGATTAACTCCTTTTAATCTGTAACTAAGGTCTGAGTCCTGAAGACTTTCTTCTAGAGCCTCAGTAAGCTTACTTAATCTAAATGGGTCTAGGTGCTGGGGTGATGTCTCCTGCTAAATCATGGAGGTTTAGGCAGTTCTTTCAGACCTCCAATAAACTTGTTTGTGGAGGCCTGGGGAGTTTCTTCAGACCCCCAATAAAACTTGTTTAATCTTAATTGGCTCCTGTTAAGAATTCCTTTGTTATTTTATCATGCTTTAAGGCCTAGGAAAGGCCTAGGCAAAACTCTTGATGGGCTTTTTTACATTACAGCCTTTGTATAAGGGCACTGGCTTTTTTTTTTTTTTTTTTTTTTTTGAGACAGAGTCTTGCTCTTGCTCTTGTCACCCAGGCTAACGTGCAATGGCATAATCTCGGCTCACTACAACCTCCGCCTCCCAGGTTCAAGCAATTCTCCTGCCTCAGCCTCCTGAGTATCTGGGATTACAGGCGCCTGCCACCATGCCTGGCTAAAGTTTTGTATTTTTAGTAGAGACGGGATTTCACCATGTTGTCCAGGCTGGTCTCAAACTCCTGACCTTGTGATCTGCCCGCCTCAGCCTCCCAAAGTGTTGAGATTACAGGTGTGAGCCACTGTGCCTGTCCGGGCACTGGCTTTTTTAGTTTTTAATATTTAACTTCACCACTCAGTCAGTACAGAAACAGTTATGATGGAGGCCTGCGTTAGTAAGACCTGGCCTGCCACACAATGGGGATCCCAGTGACTGTCTCTGAGCAGTGTTACCTGAAGGTTTCGAACTTGTTTAGAAGAAAGCCATTTCTCTTCATTTAAAGATACAAGTGGTATAAAAAATAACATTGCAAATTGCAGTCACTGTGATGTCCATTTTTGTATTATATGTTCATACCTTTGAAGCACTGTTTAGTCTATTGCAAGAAAAGATTGAAGAGGATGAAGTAGAAGACAGTGTGATCTGGTGACCGCTCACTGGATTAGGAGCTAGAAATCCTAGTCTTGGCTAACTTGACCAAGTCTTGACCTCTGTGGGCCTCAGGTTCCTAACTCATAACAATGAAAGTATTGACTAGGTAATCTTCAAGGTATCTTCCAGCTTTAAAACCCAGTTAGTTTTTATGTATGTGATATCAGAGTCTGATTCTCAGCAGTAATTTTTTTTTCTTTTTTTTTTGAGATGGAGTCTGGCTCTGTCACCCAGGCTGGAGTGCAGTGGCGTGATCTCAGCTGACTGCAACCTCTGCCTCCCAGGTTCAAGCAATTCTCTTGCCTCAGCCTCCCAAGTACCTGGAACTGCAGGCACGTGCCACCATGCCCCGCTAATATTTTGTATTTTTAGTAGAAACGGGGTTTCACCATATTGGCCAGGCTGGTCTTGAATTCCTGACCTCAGGTGATCTGCCTGCCTCAGCCTCTCAAAGTGCTGGGATTACAGGTATGAGCCACTGCACCTGGCGCTCAGCAGTAATGTTAATGTATACCACAAGAAAAGGTGAAGAGGAGCTTTTGCTTCCTATAAGGAGAAGGAAAAAACTTTCATTTTTCAAAGCTGGCTGCCATTGAACAAGTTGGCAATAAAGAAGACTGAGTTCCCTTTGGAAGTTAGTTGTCCTTTTGTGTAGGAAAAAATGCCCGAGAGATACTTGGCTATTGGACTTTGAAGGACATAAATGAAAGGCAAAGTTCAGGTGGTAGAGATTTACAAAAAGAATAGTAAGAATTTTTCTGCCTAATAAAATAACAGGGATTTTTTTTTTTTTTTTGAGACATCCCCTGGCACCAAGGAGTTTGGCCTCAAGTTAGTTGTGCAGGAATGCAGGTAGGGTGTGTTGGACAGAAAGTAGGCTGTTCAGAGCAGGGCATGCCACAGATAGCCTTGGGTCAGCTGTGTTGTTTTGTTTCCTTGTACTGCTTTTCAAGAATTTGAATCAGGCCGGGCGCGGTGGCTCAAGCCTGTAATCCTAGCACTTTGGGAGGCCGAGACAGGCGGATCATGAGGTGAGGAGATCGAGACCATCCTGGCTAACACAGTGAAATCCCGTCTCTACTTAAAAAATACAAAAAACTAGCTGGGCGAGGTGGTGGGTGCCTGTAGTCCCAGCTACTCGGGAGGCTGAGGCAGAAGAATGGCGTAAACCTGGGAGGCGGAGCTTGCAGTGAGCTGAGATCTGGCCACCGCAAGCAAGACTCCGTCTCAAAAAAAAAAAAAAAAAAAAAAGAATTTGAATCAACATTTAAATACTGCTGGATGTGGTGGCTCATGCTTATAATCCCAGCACTTTGGGAGGCTGAGGGTGATGATCACTTGAGTCCAGGGGTTCAAGACCAACCTGGACAACATTGTGGGACCCTGTCACTACATAAAAAAAAAATTAAATATTGAAAGACTTTAAAATATGCATAGTTGGTGCCTCTGAAAATTGGAAGATATTAGCAATAATCAGGTGGGTAGCCGCTGGCTCCATTAGAGGACTGGTTCACCACAGTCCTCACTATGCAGAGTGGTCTCAGCCCTGCAACTGGCCCCACCTGACCCCCAGGTGGCTGCAGTACTGGCCTGAGCCCTGGGGGCATATGAATTCTCTACCTTGGCTACAGAGGGTGCTCTGGGAACAGAAGAGAAGTTTGGGTCTGTGGAAGCCCTGGTAAAGACAAAAGTCTGTGTGATGTGAAATGGTCAGTGAATTTCTAGAAGGTCTAGAAAGTTCATGTTTGTTTCTTGGGTCAGGTGCAGGTGGCCCACACCTGTAATCCCAGCACTTTGGGAGGCCAAGGGGGGAGTATTGCTTGAGCTCAAGAGTTTGAGACCAGCCTGAGCAACATGGTGAAACCTTGTTTCTGGAAAAAAAAAAAAAAAAAATCATTAAAAAACCCCACAAATTTGTTTCCCACCAATCTTACTGTCTGTTGTACTTACCATCTTTTGTACTCAAAACCTTAGTATAAGTCTATCTTTCTCTCCTTCTGTCTGAAACACACACACACACGCACACACTCACGCACAAAGTGTTGCTGCTCGAGGAGCCATTTACCTCACTCCTCACTTTAATGATTCCTTCTTGCTTTGACTCCTTGACTTCTTATTATACATTTTTTGATCTTTTAGATTTAATTGTGCTTTTTGTTCTATAAAGTAACTCCTCAATTAAACCAATCACATATAAATATTTATGAAGTACTAAATCTGTAAAGAGTAAAACTCATGATATATATTTTAAATATATTTTTAAATGTTTATTGAGAATCAGATGCTATGTTTATAACATAATATAACTTTGATTCTGTCAAAAGCCTTGAGTAGGATATAGCTTTCCAAATCAACCAAATATTACCTTTTGAGTCAAAACAAATCTGTGTTTGAGTTCTGCCTGCCTCCTCCAAATTGCTCAACATTTCATCATACATACACTGTTTTTGAGCAGGAAGCTGAACTAAATATTAAACCACCAGCTTGTAGCAAAGTTTGTATGCCTTTCTTCGACTAGAAATCTGACAAACTACAAATGATTTTCATTTTACCTCTTATCTTCTAATAAGAATTGATGATGTATCTGAAAGCATTTGTAAAAACTGATCAACTTATATAAAATTGTAAAGTGACACAAATTTAAGGCACTGTAAGGATAAAAGCTTTTATTAAGAATTATGGATATTTTCTTGGCATGTAAACTCTTGTCTTCTTTAGGGATATTTGGTCTCTTGGCTGTGTCTTATATGAGCTCTGCACACTCAAACATCCTGTAAGTATGCTCATTGTCAGACTAATCTTGAATTATTGGAATTGTAGAAAAGAAGTTAACTTATAGGAGAAAAAGGTTAATGTTTGGTTTTATTAGATTGTTAAAAATTATATGGATGAGCTACTTAAAATAATGATAGATGACATGGAAAGATGTCCAAACAATATTATAAAGTAAAAAGTCCAAGTTGGAGACTAGTATGTGTAGCATATTTCCATTAAAAATAAATTGTGTGGGCTTAGCATGGTGGCTCATGCCTGTAATCCCAGCACTTTGGGAATCTGAGGCAGGTAGATCACTTGAGGTCAGGAGTTGGAGACCAGCCTGGCCAACATGATGGTAACACCCTGTCTCTACTAAAAATACAAAAATTAGCCAGGCATGGTGGCACGTGCCTGTAGCCCCAACTAGTTGGGAGGCTGAGGCACGAGAATTGCTTGAACCCCGGAGGTGGAGGCTGCAATCAGCTGAGATTGCGCCATTGCACTGCAGCCTGGGTGACAGCGAGACTCCATCTCAAAAAAATAAAAAATAAATAAATAGTGCCGGGCACAGTGGCTCACGCCTGTAATCCCAGCACTTTGGGAGGCTGAGACGGGTCAGGAGATCGAGACCATCCTGGCTAACACAGTGAAACCCCGTCTCTATTAAAAATATAAAAAAAAAAGTTGGGCGTGGTGGCGGGCGCCTGTAGTCCCAGCTACTCGGGAGGCTGAGGCAGGAAAATGTTGTGAACCCAGGACGTGGAGCTTGCAGTGAGCTGAGATTGCGCCACTGCACTCCAGCCTGGGTGACAGAGCAAGACTCCGTCTCAAAAAAAAAAAATAAAATAAAATAAATAAATAAATAAATAAATAAATAAATAGTGTGTGAATAGATACGTTCAGCAAAAGAAAAATGTACGTGGGCAAAGGTCATAGGAAACCAGGCACAAGTGTTTAAGAGTCTTTTCCCAGAGATCACATGGGATGTGCCAAATCCTCCAGCATTGTTACCCACGTCACCTGTGAAATGCGATCTATAAGAAAGTTCATTGGATATACCCAGTGCCCAGGATTTTTACTGGGAACTGGTCACATAGGTAGCCTCTACCTGGCATATGCCAAACTTCCAGCCTCCTGGAAAGAAAGCAGGTGTTCAACGTAAACCATATTGTTCACATAAATAGCTGAGGCAAAGAGAGCCGCTCTTAACATTCAGGGAATGGTGGGAATTCTTCTGAAATCTTAGTTTCCAGACACCAGCCACGGGCCAACATTGTAAGCAGGCCTTTCTGAGGATAACCTGCTACATCAACTCTTCTCCACAGCTGTCATTTTTGTTATTATTAATTATTGTCAAGGATTGCGCAGCCAATTTCTGACGAAAATGTGTACTTCTTTTTTTTTTTTTTTTTTTTTGAGATGGAGTCCCTCTCTGTCGCCCAGACTGGAGTGCAGTGGCATGATCTCAGCTCACTGCAACTTCTGACTTCTGGGTTCAAGCAATTCTCTTGCCTCAGCCTCCCGAGGAGCTGGGATTACAGGTGCCCACCACCACACTTGGCTAATTTTTTTGTATTTTTAGTAGAGTCAGGGTTTCACCATGTTGGCCAGGTTGGTCTTGAACTCCTGACCTTGGGTGATCTCCCCATCTCGGGCTCCCAGAGTGCTGGGATTACAGGCGTGAGCCACCATGCCTGGCCACTGTGTACCTTTATTGCTACACCATGGTGTTGAATATTATTATGTATAAATAACTATTGATTTCATACAATAGAAGATTTTCTGGTCTGTGAAGCATTTTAGAGGAAGTTAAACAATGTTTATGTGAATTTTAAAAAGCAAGAGATAAAATTTCATATCAATGTGACCTCAACTTTGTAAAATAAACATCATTTTAAAAAAAGATCAGAAGGAGCTATACCTCTGAGTGGGGTAAAATTATACATATTTTCCCCTGTCTTTATAACTTCCTGTACCTTCCAGTTTTTTGTTATGAGTAAACGTTATTTCGATAATAAGACAAAACAAAAAAACTTGTTTTAAATAACATGGCATCTCGTTGAGAAACTGCAGTATCTGCTCATGAAAGATTAGTTGTTGAAAACAATTTAGGGTGGACTATAGTGCTTCTTTTTTATTTTTTGATTGAGACCGGGTCTCACTCTGTCACCCAGGTTGGAGTGCAGTGCTGTGATCACGGCTCACTGCAGCTTTGACCTCCTGGGCTTAGACAATCCTCTTGCCTCAGCCTCCCAAGTAGCTGGGACCACAGGCTTATGCCACCAAGCCCAGCAAATTTTTAAAAACCATGATTTGGAGAGATGAGGTCTAATACTATGTTTCCCAGACTAGTCTTGAACTCCTGGGCTCCAGTGATCCTCCTGCCTTGGCCTCCCAAATTGCTGGGATTACAGGTCTACTGCTTCTAACTACAATTTAAAAACATTGTTTTGCTTCTTGGTATGTTTGTTACTTTAACACTTTTATTATTTGTTACTTTAGTAACTTTTCTCTGATTTAGTATGATTGCTCCTTGCCCTTTCAGTTTGAGGGTAACAACTTACAGCAGCTGGTTCTGAAGATTTGTCAAGCACATTTTGCCCCAATATCTCCAAGGTTTTCGCGTGAGCTACATTCCTTGATATCTCAGCTCTTTCAAGTATCTCCTCGAGACCGACCATCCATAAATTCCATTTTGAAAAGGCCCTTTTTAGAGAATCTTATTCCCAAATATTTGACTCCTGAGGTGAGTTTTGAGGTGACTGTTTGGATTTTGGCAGAGATTTTGGTTTGTAGGTCCTTGACACGTGTGTTCGGTTTTAGGTCATTCAGGAAGAATTTAATCACATGCTTATATGCAGAGCAGGAGCGCCAGCTTCTCGACAGGCTGGGAAGGTGGTCCAGAGTAAGTGTGACTTTACCGTGCAATCAAAAGCATTTATTACACATGTCTCACACAGAGAGTAATGCAAGGAAATTTCACCAAACATTTTGAAAGCGGACATTTAGGAAACAAGCAGTATAAGCAGGAGAACAATCATCTTGTCAAATGGCAACTAGTGAGTGTGCCTGAAAGTTGTACATTTAGCTCATGCATGACCTGCAGGGTTTCTTCTCATTAGTCAGGAAACCTTCATGAAGCAGAGGACATGCTGATAGAGATGCTTGAAGAGGTTGAGCCCAAACTTAACTTTTGTGTAGTGAAGAGATAGAGTGGGAGAAGGTTGCAGATAGACATGGATGATGAGATGAAACTTATTTTTCTAAAATAGGATAGACTGGCAATTAAGAATTCTGTTGCAAAGGACCATTGGAGCTGAAGTTAGGATCTTGGGGCCTAATTGGTAACAGTGAGAACTATTACTTTGTGGTTCCCAAAGAAGGCAGGAAATACTTTATGGTAGTAATAATTGGAGAAAACTATTTTAGTCCTGGTGTCAGGAATCAGCTAAGCTGTGTGTCAGAGGGAGGGGTGCATTAAGAAAGAGAAAATGACTAATTCATTTGATGCTGTGAAAGTCAAAGCCGCAGGATTTAGCCATAACTGAATGCCTGGACTTACAATATTAGAAGAAGCAGAAAACCTCCCAAAGGAATTCATGAGAGGGAAATGTTATCCATTGAGAGAGAGGTTCTAAAATCGAGGAAAGTTAAGGAGAAAATGAATGAGCCTCTTTGCCATTTAATTTGACTGACATTGTTGTATATCAGTCTAGACTGAGAATGTTTAGAAAATAGACAAGTACAAAGTATAGGACAGTGTATTGTCCATATTTCTAATATAGGTAAGACAGGAGAACAAGAACAATTTTTTCTATTGAGATGGGGTCTCACTGTGTTGCCCAGGCTGGTCTCAAACTCCTGAGCTCAAACAATCCTCCCACCTTGGCCTCCCAAATTGCTGGGATTACAGGTGTGAGCCACCTTACCCAGCCCAAGAACAAATTTTGATGGAGATAAAGACAAGCATTAGAGATCTACTCATACCTCAATCTCAGCATTTTGGGAGGCCAAGGTGGGCAGATCACTGGAGGCCAGGAGTTTGATGCCAGTCTGGCCAACGTGGCCAAACCACATCTCTACTAGAAATACAAAAATTAGCTGGACCTAGTGGCCCATGCCTGTAATCCCAGCTACTTGGGTGGCTGAGGCACGAGATTTGCATGAACT